CCCCTCCGCCGTTGCCACTCACCCGCCTTCCCCGGAGGCCGCCCCCTATAGACCGACCTCAGATCTCCTCTGGAGATGCGCTTGCCCGTGTGGCTGTGGGGTGTGCGTGGTTGTTTTGTTTTCTGTTGGCCATTTTGGGTTCAAACCCCGGGCGCAGCTGGGGGAGAGGGAGGGCCGTCCGTGCCGACGCCTGTCTGTGTGGGCTTTCCAGGGGACCCTGCTGGGGGTCTGCGGCAGCACCGGGAGCGGCAAGAGCAGCCTGCTGTCAGCCGTCCTGGGGGAGGTGAGTTTGAAGTTTCTCTCACTGAGAAGCAGGAAGAACACGGTGGTCCGACCCGTAGGCCCGATGACCAGACGCGGCAGGGGCTGCCGTTGGCCGCATCTGCGTAGAACCATCTCCTGTGGCGCCGCTTTAAACGACAGCGATGGTGACCCTTTCCCACTAACTCTTTGGCAGTGACGTGTGCCGCGCCCGCACGGCCAAGGGTGACCCTGAGCGGGGGCGGCTGGAAGGCTTAGAAAAGACAGACAAGAGAACGAAAGCCGGGTCTGGGTGGGACGCTGCTTCTCTGAGAGACAGCACCAGCGCCTACAGCCGTGTCTTTATTTTATAGCAGATGCCATGAGGCAAAGTAAGGGCGTGATCAAGATGTTTACAACATTCTCGTGGATTTCAGTCCCACTCAATTACATGCACCTGAACTCTATCACACAGGCACGTGGGGCCACGTGTTCGGACCACAGGTTCCAGCTCACAACTACAGCTGTTGGCTGTAATTGTGCTGGGAGGGCTCTGCCCTCCAAGCTGGGACTTGCACGTGGCCACGAGAGGACTGTGCCCTCTCCTCAGTCCAAGGCTTGAACCTGTCCAAACACTGTAGTGGCTCCCCACGGTGACGCCCAAAACACGAGGCCCACGCCCCACCCAGCCATGGCGACGTCCTCACGTTAGGAGCAGCTCTGGGACACCCAGGGCAGGTCAGGGCGGGCCTGGGCATTCCACCCATGGAAAGGGGCTGGAAACCAAGCGGGAAAAGCATGGGGTGTCTTCCACGCAAGCCCTGCTCGTCCCCGTGGGGAACGTCCTGGTTTAGCTCCGCGTTCTCGGGGTCACACCCTGACTCACTTTTGTTTTTTAAATTAAGGTCCTTGTGTTTGTACAACTGAGGTTCCATTTTTTTAAAAAACATGTTTTTATTTCAGAAAGAGGAAGGGAGAAGGAGAGAGAGAGAAACATCAATGATGAGAGAGAATCATGGACCGGCTGCCTCCTGCACGCCCCCCACTGGGGACTGAGCTGCAACCCAGGCCTGTGCCCTGACCTGGAATCGAACCGTGACCCCCTGGTTCCTAGGTTGACGCTCAACCACTGAGCCACGCCGGCCGGGCAGGAGCATGTCATCCTAAGTCCCATTTCATAGGCGAGCCCTGGGGTCCAGAGGCCAGCGGGGCCCTGGCTGTCCCCTGGGCACTGCCCTGAGGCTGACTCACATCCACAGATGCACCTGCTGGAGGGCTCGGTGGGCGTGCACGGGAGCCTGGCCTACGTGCCCCAGCAGGCCTGGCTCCTCACGGGCAGCGTCAGGGACAACATCCTCATGGGAAGCCAGTGTGACCAGGCCCGGTAAGCCTCTGGGAGGGGCAGGGAGGACGTGGGGGAGGGGGCTGTCTGGGGAAGGTTCCCCCATCCTCCCACCCCCCGCTGCGAGTGGCCGCCTGAGAGTGGCTGGCACCCGCATGGGCTCCCTTCAGGCACCAGCACCGCCCTCCTGGCTGCGAGAGGAAGGCCACTGTCCTCTCCACGTTCTAGGCCAGGCGGCTGAGGCCCCAAAAGGGTCAGTCACGTGCCCAGAGTTGGGGGATTGATGCCGCTGGGCCTGAACCCCGTGGCTGTCAGCAATTCCAGGTTTCACTACTTTGGTCTATGGGCCCTCCCCCTCCGAAAGGTTAGCTCCACGGGTGTCTGTGTGAATCCCTTCCTGACTCAAAGTCAGAGGGAGGTCAAGGGGTGACGAGGTTGTCAACGTGGAGGAATCAGCTGGGTTCCTGGGCGGGGGGGTGACCTGCTCACACATTCCCCTGGCGACCACGAGTGGCTGTGGGGCAGAGGATGGGGGAGGGCGGGGAACCGTGCCCGCAGGCCACAGCCGGGCTCGGCTCCGGGACTCGGCCTCTGTTGGCTTTGTTGGATTTTGCAACCGGCCCCTCCCCCCGAGTCACAGCCCCGAGGGCACAGGCCTGGACGGGTTCACACTGACCAGCTCCAGCCGGCCAGGCCCAGTGCCAACTGGTGAGCTGCTGGCCGGTCCCCGCGTTGCCCAATCGGTGCGATGGCTCTCCAGGGCCAGCCGCCTCCTCCCGCAGCCCCCTTCTCATTGGACGGCGCTGTCTCCTTCCGTCTCTGCGTTCCTCTCTTCTCCGCTGGCGGCCAGCTCTGCGCTGTGCTCTGGCCGGGACTGCTCCCTGGCCCTGGCCCGGTGCCCTGGCTCCCGCTTCTCCCTGTGTCCACCCCCCGGGGCGTCGTCCTAACACAGCCCTAATCTGATCACCGTCTGCCCGCACACCGATGGGACTCGGGGCCCTTTCGAAATATCTGTCCAAAACAAACACAGGCTGGGCGCTGCTAGGCACGCAACACAGAGAATCTCACCGAACACGGAGACCCGTGCGCAGGAGTGTCCACACGGCACATGGTCACAGCAGCAAAGGACTGGAGAGACTCCCCATGTCCATCCCAGGGGCACGTGACATACGCCGCCGCCTGTGCAGCGTGATGGGGTACTCAGGACCCTTAAACCATATAAGCTGCCCACGGGCCCACAGGAATGGGCTGTTCCTGAATAAATACATAAGAAACTGTAATGGCAGTTGCTCCTAAGAAAAGCCACTGAGGGGCCCTGGCCGGCGTTGCTCAGTGGTTAGAGCGCCGGCCCAAGGACTGAAGGGTCCAGGGTTTGCTTCCGGTCGAGGGCACGTACCTGGGCTGCAGGTTTGACCCTGGGCCCATCCAGGCACATGCAAGAGGCAACCCATCGATGCGTCTCTCTCACATTGATGCTCCTCTCTCTCTCTCCTTCCCACTCGCTCTAATAATCAATTGAAAAAATATCTTCGGGGGAGGATGAACAAGGACAACAAAAAGCCCCAGGGCCACAGACGCCAGAGACGCTGCTCGCTGCGCCGTGTCTCCTTTCATTTCTGCTCCGATGTTCGCCCCGTGCGCGCGCGAGATCGGAAGGGAGAGGCAGGAGGACGCGGACAGGCTCCTTAGCCGGCAGTGCGAGCGCGCCCCCTCCACACCTGGGGGATGCAGGTCTGCCCGCGCGTCCCTCAGCCCCCCGACCTTGCAGGTACCGCCAGGTGCTCCACTGCTGCTCCCTGAACCGCGACCTGGAGATCCTGCCCTTCGGAGACATGACGGAGGTGAGGGGGCGGCGGGCAGCTCGCCCTGTGGGCCCCGGGCCCCACGCTGCCTCCTGGCACACAGAGGGGCCCCCACCGCGCTGCCTCCGAGCCCCCCAACGAGGGAGGGAAGTCGAGAGGGGGAACCTCCCACGTGCCCGTGTGCCCCCCCACCCTGTCCATCGCTGGCCAGCACCCCTTCTTCAGGGGGAACATAGCCAAGGCCCCAGGACGGGGAGTCGTCCTGATGGCTGCGTTTCTGATAATTCGCCGTTGTTGGCCCCCGAGAGAAGGGGCAGTGCTGTCCCCACTTCACTGTGATCGCAGCGCAGCCTGTGGCCACGTTCCACGGGCAAAGCCCAGTCTAGCACCCCGCGCGCCTCGCTTCAGGTGAGGCAGCCCCGTCCTCCGCGTCCGCACTGGCTTCTTTATTGGCTCGTCTGCGGCTCCTGTCTGACACCCACGCGAGGGGAGCAGGCGGTGCTTGTCCGTCCCCTTATTTCGGGAGCCCGACGACCTCGAGCCCCGTCCTGTGGCCGCGGTGGCCCGGGGCCGGCCTTCCCAGTGAGTGGCGTTTCGCGGTGCCACGTGCCACGCGCCACGTCTGCTCTACCCCACGCCACCCCCGAGGGGCGCTTTCTCCTGCACATGGGGAGCACCGAGTGCTGAGGCCAGGGGCGCCCCATTGTTAGGTGCCTCGGGGTGTGCCCTGAGGGGTCCAGGCGGCCCCCCTGCCCTCCTGGCCGTGCTCACCCTCCGGCCACGGTGACACTCATCCTTGGCGTTGGCCGCAGACACTGTCGCTATTCCTCCCTCCTCTTCTAGCTGAGCCTCACCCGCTTCCTGGTATAAGAAGAGGCACAAGAAGCTTTAGGAAGGGCCCTGGCTGGTGCGGCTCAGTGGATAGAGCATTCAGCCCACGGACTGGGCCTCCAGTATAAAATAACGTTGTATCCCGACTTGAACTCAGGTTTCCTGGGGAATAGTGAGGCTGAACAGCTCTCTGTGTGCTCACTGGACATCTTATTTCTTCTGGCTCCTCAGTATCTGCAGTTTTGCGACCAGGTCGTTTTGCTGGAAGACGGGAAAGTCTGTGAGCAGGGGGTTCACAGTGAGCTGATGCAGAAGAAGGGGCGATACGCCCACCTCATCCAGATGATGCACGGGGAGGCCACACAGGTGATCCGTCCCCGCCCCCGCCCCTCCCCCTCGGGGAGGAACCCCCTCGCTCACAGCCCTGCTTCCCCCAGAACACACTCCAGGAGGCCAGAGAGCCTCAGGTGGGAGACCCGGCCCAGCGCCCCCTCCAGGAGGAGCCTCTTGGGGACAGTGAAGGTGAGGACGCTGGGTCTGGCCCCGGCCGGCTGGGATCCCAGCGGCTTTGGGGCAGCTGCCGCAGAAGCGTGCTGCTGCAGAGCATCTCACTGTCCATCGACGAGGACACAGAGGTTGCGTGACTTCCCCAGGTTGCACAGTATCGTGATGACAATTAGGATCCAGGATCCTGGCCCTAGGTCACCTCTGTCCCCTTCTCTCCAGCTGCCCCTCTGACCCGTCCAGCGTGTGGGACGTCAGGCCCTTAGGGCTTGTTGAACAGTTGGGGGTGGACCCCCTTTCCAGGCTCTGGGGTCTAGGGTGTTCCGTGGATTAGGGGCAGGCTGGGCGGGCGCTGCGCTGCTGCCGGGAGGTGAGGGAGCGGGAGGGGGGCAGGCGCAGAAGCTTTGCAGGGAGCCGCTGGGCGCCAGGAAGAGCCGGGAGGAACGCCTTCTCCTCCTCCTCCTCCCCACCCAGGGCTGCAGAACCAGCTCACACAGAAGGAGAAGATGGAAGAAGGGTCCCCGACGTGGCGTGTCTACCACCACTACATCCGGGCGACCGGAGGTGCGGGCTGGGCCCCACGCCTGCCGGGGGCCCCCAGGACCCGCCCCGCCCCGAGCCCGGGTCCCCGGG